CCCCTCTCCCCTCCCCATCCTCTCTGCTTTGCACTGTAGATGACTCAGACCCAGGCCAGTCGAGTGAGACCTGGGGAGAGAGATTAGTGCCTCCCTGCAGGATATACGCAGGTAATCGCTGCAGCCCGATCCTCAGCCCCCGTGTCCTCTACAAGTCACCCACTCTGCGCCACAATGCTGCTGTAAACACACTTGCACACATGCACTTGTGTGTGTTTTTCGCCCTGCATCTGGCCCTGTTACAGCTCTCGCATGTCTGTGTTTAATAACAACCGACCGACGGAGATTGGGGGGGAGGGAGGCCGGGGAGGGAGGGGGCTCGAGGAGTGCTGTATGAACTTGGCTGGCTTAAGAGAATGCTGTCTTTTTTTTATTTTGTTTTGTCCCCTTCTTTTTTTCCAACCTCATGCTTGTCATCTGTTTCTCCGCGTGCTCAACGGATACAAGGGAAGGAGGAAAACGTCACCGTGACGATGAATTTGCTGCTTGAAATGAAACTGGACCTTTTTATGTATTTATTTTGGGAACTGTTGTCTAAAATCTGTCTTGGTTTTGTTGCAGATAAAGATGGACCGGACAAGAAGAAGGTGAAAAAGGAGTCTGGGGGCAAGAAGTCCCAGGCCAACCTGTTGTTTGGGTATCCTCTGTCAGAGCGCAAACAGATGGCTCTACTAATGCAGATGACTGCCAACAGTCCAGGTTTGTGTGCCTGCTCTCTCACCTTAACCACATCCTCGAGATGGCTCAGAGTATATTTGCTGTTGGATGACTTGACAAACATGCTTTTCTAATATTTCAAGGTTGTTTGAGAATATCTAATATTTAATGTAGCTGGTAAAGAAGAAAGCTGCTGTGCATACATGTCACAGGACCGGTAACTGAGATCCTTTTTTTTGTTATAAATAATAGGTTGTAAGACAGTAGTAGTTTGTGCATACATGCTGAAAATGCACAGTCACAAGTAAGCTCAGGTTTCCAGTGAAACCAGTGACAGTGTTGCTGCTCAATCAAATGCAAATTTAAGGAACAGCAAAGCTCATTTGCTTACGCCATGTGTTGGAGGAGAAGATTGGTACCGCTCTCACGTCTGTTCGTTCAGTATGATGCTGGAGCCAGCAGACGGTTAGCTTAGCTTGGCATACAGACGGGAAAGAGGACGAACAGCTAGCCTGGCTCTGTCAGAAGCTAAAATCCACCTACCAGCGTCTTATTTTGTGGGATTATTCCTATGTGCTACTGCTGGACAGAGCAAGCCTAGCTGTTTGTCGTCTTTTATGCAAAGCTCAGGTAACCAGCTGCTGGCTGTAGCTTCAAATTTAGGGTACAGATATGCAAATGGTATCCATCTTCTCATGTCTCCAAGAACGCAAACGAGTGTATTTCCAAAATGTTAAACTATTCCTTTAATAAATACATACTAAAACACAAATATAAGCACAGTCTTTCAACTTCCCACTAAAACCAGTTGTACTATGGCTGCTTATTCCATTGCTTTGCACATTAATGCAGGTAGTTATCTCAGCCCCTGACAAGCGTTTGCTTCAAGCATCAATTAAGTACTTTTCTCTCTTCCTGCCTGTGACCAGACTCTACCCCTAGTCACCCCTCACAAACGACCCCTGTGCAGAAGAAAGTCCCCAGCAGCGCCTCGTCTCGACAGAAGGACAAGGTCAACAAGAGGAACGAGCGAGGGGAGACTCCCCTTCACATGGCTGCCATCCGGGGAGACGCCAAGCAAGTTAAAGAGCTCATTAGCCTGGGAGCTGATGTCAACGTCAAAGACTTTGCAGGTACGGTGCCCCGGGAGGTGATTATTTAACAGCTTCCATCATGTCTGTATGGTAGCTATTAATAACATGAAGCTGACTCGCAGTTGCTTATTCAAAGGCGATGCGATAACACAGACGTTGGTGTGCATGTTACTATCTTGTGTGCACGTTTTGTATTTTCATTTTTACTGTTTATCTCCCAACAGAAAGCTATGACAATTAATTTTTTTTCTACAATACAAGAACTGTGAATTCTGAAAAACTCTGGTTTTACTGTTTTCTGTCCTCACCAGGTTGGACTCCTCTTCATGAAGCCTGTAATCTCGGCTACTACGATGTGGCCAAGGTCTTAATAGCAGCAGGTGCGGAGGTGAACACGCAGGGTCTGGATGACGACACGCCACTCCATGATGCCTCAAGCAGCGGGCATAAAGATGTAAGAGCTTCACTTTTCAACCTTTGTGACGTGTCAAATGTAACGTACACATTTACAGAAGGCCTATATTAGTAATTTTAAGAGCTGCATAAGAATAGGAAACTTTGCTGCAGTCAATTAATGAGCATGTAGTGTTTAGAAACAAACATATTAAAAACTGTTTTTTAAGCTTAATGTTTATGTTTAGATTCTCACTCTCGATTCTTGTGTCTTGTACAGATTGTGAAACTGCTACTACGCCACGGTGGAAACGCCTTCCAGGCTAACAAGCGCGGGGAGCGCCCTGTGGACGTGGCTGACTCTCAGGAGCTGGAACAGCTATTAAAGGGAGAGGTGCCACTGTCGGACCCAGATGACAGTTCTTCAGGTATGCAGAGAATGCTGTAGAGCTCGGCTGACGTCATATATTAACAAATATTAACTGTGATATTACTGGACATTCTTCATCCACTGCACCTCACTGCACAATGTGTACATGTGTTTTCACTATAGATGGAGCAGATGGGGGCTTAAACATCAAATGTGTGTTTAGGGCTTTACTCTTCCTATATTTATGGAACAATGTGTAGTCTCAGTTTAATATCCACTACTAAACCCTTTATTGTCAGTTGGGATTCACGATAGAAGTTCATAACCTGTAGTTTTACACCTGTGGGTAAGAAAGGATAAGATGTAGTGAGCAAAGATGGAGGGATTTAATAGTCCATAGCTCTGTCCTAACCAAATTTATCACTGTTGTAAACACAACCAAAAACAAACAGAATTTGTCTTTCATAGAGCATGAAGCCTATCAATCGTTTACATTATTATTATGGCTGTAATTTAATTATTTATAATATAAATTTCCCATTATTGGATGATAATTTATCTGCCTGGGTAATTATTGTGCATCCCTGGTATAAAGTGCTGTCTTGACTTTAATGTATGATGTTAACATTGATCTTCTCCCCTCTGCAGAGTCTGAAGACCCACCATCTGTCAATCCATCCAGTGTGGATGACAACATGGAAGACACTGATACTGAAAAGGATTCAGATGGCAAACCAGCCACAAAAGCGTCTTCGTCCGTGCCCGGGCTGGATGAGTATGAGTTCAAGGACGAGGAAGAGGAGGAGGATCTCAGTAAAGCCCTGAACGACAGACACATCCTCCGGAGGGAACTTCGCCAGCGGGAGAAGGAGGAAAAGGAAAGGAATCATGTGGCAGGAAAGCAGAGTGGCAAAGGGGATTCCTCCTCAAAGTCCAAAAAGCAGAAGACTCCTCGTGTCCACTGCAGCTCTGACACCTCCAGTGATGAAATGGAGAGCCTTCCAGAGAAAAGGAATTCCCCTACCTGCTCTCAGAGCTCAGAGAGCGTCAAGGCTGACACAAGGTCTAAAAAGGAGAATGCTGAGCAAAAGGACAAAGGCAAAGTCAAGAGGAAGAGCAAAAGCCAGAATAAAAACAAGGAAAACCAAGAGGATGGGAAAGAGAACAGCAAAACTTTGGTCCTCTCTCTGGCAACTGTGTCCGAGAGCACAGAAAAAGGTCGGGAGGAAGACTCTTTCAAAATGTCTTTCAGTCCTAAAGATGACTCATCCGTCCACCTCTTCCATTTGTCATCCATAAAATCTCCGAAACTGAACCACAGCCTGACCGATAAACAAACACCACTCAAACAAGAAAATACTAAGATGTGCATTTCCATCAGTGACAGCTCATGTCCGGTGGACGGTGTCAAATACAACCACTACACAGACGCAGATTACTGCACTGAAGGCTCCAGCACCAAGGGGTGCAAGCACAAGGAAAAGAGCAAACATCAACAGAAAGATTCCAGTGTAGACGGGGACGACGGTCATTCGAGTCCGTACAAAGAAGGCAGCATAGGAAACAGCATAGACAGCGCTGAAGGTGCCTTACGGAAGACCGACTTAGACGGCAAAGTAGTAAAGAAGCATAAACTTAAACACAAGGAGAAAGACAAACACAGGAGGGAATACGAGGCAGAACGGAGCCGCCACAGGCAGAAGGAGGCCAGGAAAGACAGCCACAGGAATTTGGAGTTTGACAGAGAGTTCTGGAAAGAGAATTTTTTCAAAAGTGATGAGACCGATGAATCTCTGCCAGTGAAAAAGGAAGGTGAAGACAATAGCTCACTTCAGAAGACTTCTGATTCCTCTCCTGTCAAAGATGAGAGAAACGCAAAGGAGAAACACTCCAGCAGCAAGGAAAAGAGGCAGAGAGAGGAGCGAGAGAAAGACAAGGCTGTGAAAAAAGAGCGGAAGGAGGCTGCTGGTAAAGAAGAGAAGGTAAAGGATTCAAAGCTCAGCGAGCGTGACGAGAGAGTGGACTGCCACGGCTCAGGGCGGATTCCTGAGGAGACGCTCCAGAGCAACAGCATGAAAGAAGAGACAGAGGAGAAACCCATAAGTGGGATCACAGCTGATCAAGAACAGCTGGAGCCCTCTGAAAAAGGCTCACGCGAGAAAACTGACAAGAAGCTCCCAGGAAAAGAGAAGGATTCAGAAAAAATGGAGAAAAGGCATCCTGAAAAGGAAAAAAAGGTCAAAACGGAGCCCTCTGACAAAGCTGAACCACAGAATTCAGTGGATCGTTGGAAGGAAAAAGAAAGAATAGGCGCAATTTCTTCCCACTCGCCCGGAGATAAAAACTACAAAGAGAATGAAAAACTGAAATCTTTATCCACAACAAAAAAGCACGAGGAGGGCAGAAAAAATAAAGATAAGTTTGACAAACGGTCTGATAGGGAGAGGCAGGACAGAGAATATAGTGTTGGGGATCACAGAGAAAAGGAACGCACAAACTCTGATAAGAAAGGAAAACCTCTGGAGAAGACCACAGATCATAGTAAATCTGATCGTTCCAAAGAAAAGGACTGTGACAGGAAAAAGAGAGATAAAATAAAAGATGGGACTTCCTCAAGCTCCAATCTGAAGTTACTTTTAGAAGAGAAGAAGAGTTATCTGTCCGAGAGCAGCAAGTCCTTATCTACTAGATCAAAGGAGGAAGTTGTGAGAACACCAGAGAAGGATCGCGACCGGAGAGACCGGGACAGAGACTCTGATAAACACAAGGAAAAGGATAAGGACCGACACAAAGACCGCTCCCAGCAGGCCAAAATCAGCAAGGCAAAACCCAACGAGACAGACGCAGACAAGGCCAAGTCAAAAGCCTCGCCAGCAACACGAGACACCAAGCCCAAAGAGAAGAGGCTCGTGAATGATGACCTGATGCAGACCAGCTTTGAGCGCATGCTCAGCCTGAAGGACCAGGAGATCGAGCAATGGCATCGCAAACACCTGGAGAAAATCAAACAAAAAGAGCGGGAAAGGCTTAAACAGCGGCCTCTGGCAGATCCGGGGAAGTCCAAGCCCAAAGACAAAACGAAGACCGAACCTTGCTTGAGTAAAGAGCTGATGCGCTCAAAAAGCTCTGAAGCCTCCGATGTCCACAGCAGAGATAAACCCCTGAAGGACGGCACCAGCTCCAGGACGATGTCGCTCGATGGGAAGACTCTGCCCTCTATCAGCGCAAAGGTCATGTCAGCTGTAGAAAACTGTCTGACCAGATCACCCAGACCAGAGAGTGAACGCTGCCTCATGTCCAGGTCTGTGTCCTTGGTTTCTGTCGCCAGCTCAGAGGATTCGTGTCAGGCGACGACATTGACACCCAGACACGTTGAATACGACTCCGACATGAACCTGGAAGCCTCCGACTCTCAACCCGCATTCCTCCAGTCTTCCCTCGTCATTCAAGCCACCAGATCGCCGTCTGTCCACGATAAGGATTGCAACAGTCTTCCAGATGTGCCGCAAAGTAATCGGACGCTGCTGTCCGGCAGACATGAATCACCGTACCTCAGAGCTATTCTGGATGAAGATGCCAACTCGTCGACCGAAAGCAAAGCTGTTGAAAATCCACCAAAACCCAGCCAGCCGACTGAGGAGGTGAGAACAAGAGAGACCCCGGCAGAAACCGAGGAGAGTCTCAACGCTCAACAATGTCCGACTTCAGTCGCTGATTCCGTCACAGAAAGAGAAGTGAGCACTACTGGTGGTTTAATACCTCAAATGTCAAGCAAAGACCCTGAGACTAAAAACCTGACACTTCCAGAGTGTAGTGGCTCTCAAACAGGGTCAACAGAGCAGAAGACTGTTTCCTCCCCCGATGCTCCTGTTGCGAAGGACGTCCAGAGTCTGACGGAGATCTCACAGGCAGATTGTGTTAACAAAGACTCTGATCAACCATCGATACCTACAGCTTGTGTATCTGCTGAGCCGGCGGCGCTCACAAACACAAAGACCCTCCAGCAAAGGGAACCTGTTCTCACTGTTTCTGATACGGAGACTCTGCAGCAGACAGATTTAGGTACCACACATGTTTCTGACCTTAAAGACAAACCTCTGGAGAGTGCCGATGGAGCGGAACAAGAGAGTATGGAAACTGTTTCAGAAAGCTTCAGAACGGAGGCTGTAGGAAGTCCTGTACCGTCCACCAGTTCGCACATTCCCAGCTCCACTTCAGGAGAGTCCTTGCCGGGCTCTAGCAAAACAAGCTCCGAGTCTGAATGTTCGCAAGAGGACATGGACGTAAACAACCAAGACTGCAAGAAATCAAGACCTTACAGCGACACTACAGGTTCATGTCTCGATGTTCAGATGGAGAAGGACAGTCTGCCCCCGGCATTGTCCTCTAGTGCGAGCCCTGAACACAAGGCTGAAGAGATGATGGACGTCTCTCAGAGTTCAGAGAACAGCGGCGCTGCTGTTCCTGCCACAACAGAGAGTTCGTCAGCGGAGGGCAGCCTGGCTGCCGAGAGCTCTTCTGAGTCTAAAGCAGAGGCCGGCTCGGAGTTGATGGAGGTGATGCCTGCCGACGAGAAACCGGAGTTGTCTTCGTCTGGAGAAGAGCAGAGTCAAAGCACCATCCAGTCTGCGTCTCAGACGGACTTCAGCACCAGCACCTCAGGGAGCTCCTCTCCTCAATCTGGAGACCGGGATTCAGATTCTTCGGGGGCGAAGGTCAAGGTTCGCTCTGCGGATGAGGACGTGGACATCCACGTGCCGCATCCACGCAAGAGAAAGATGCCTAAAGTGTCGTCCTCGCAGTCCTGCTCCACGACTCAGCAGGACAGGGAGAGAGGTCAGCAGTCTCTGGCTGCTATTGTGGACTCTGTGAAGCTGGAGGAGATCCAGCCCTACCAGACGGAGAGGGCCAACCCTTACTACGAGTTCCTGCACATCCGGAAGAAGATCGAGGAGAAGCGCAAAGTGTTGTGCAGCGTCACCCCTCAACCGCCGCAGTATTACGACGAATATGTGACCTTCAACGGATCCTACCTCTTAGATGGGAACCCGCTCAGCAAGCTCTGCATACCAACAGTGAGTTCTTCCTTTCTGTTATAATGTTATAAATCCACTCTTTTATATCATTTTGCACATTTTTATGCAGTTTTGCATAAAAAAACTAGTGAGTGAGTACTTTGATGTGTCTGTACTCGTAAATATAGCAACTTGTATTTTAAAAAAAACTTGTTCTGTTATTTATATTTATATATTTTTATATATA